GCCACTGACTCCGTGGCTCCCCTGCTGCCCTTCAAACAAGAACAGGACATTTCCTCTACTTCACCCCACATTCTGTGTGCTGAGCAGGAGGACTAGACACAGGGCAGTGAGCACCCCTGAAGGTGTGTACCCACCCCTGACCACCCATCAGAAAGTCAGCCCTTCCCCCACCTGGAATGGCAAAAATGAGCACAATGTTGAGGCTTGAACAGGACTCAAACACGGCAAGGGAGTCAGTGAGACAATGTCCCCAGCCCATTATGTCTTGCATGCCCGGGAAGCCAGGGGAAAGGTTATCCTGTAGAGTAAAGCAGCACCAAGGCATCAGTCACCCAGAAGGGGCTCCACGAACCTTGTTAGCCTCTCCTAAACATGTCTCCTTTTTCTCTATGTTCACCCATTTTCTCCCTTCCCCAACACTTGCAGTAACGATCACCCAGCCCCTAAAACATAGCCCCTGCTGATAAATCACATAAAGTATTTGCCAGCATACATAGTCCCCTGAATTTTCAAGGCATTCTATCCTGATAAGGTCATTGTCAGCTGGAACTACTCTGATCTGAGAACCCACTGCATGCATTGCCACTGGAACACGACGGCTTAGCAACACCACGCACAGCACCCTCTAGTGTCGGGGTTTCCCCCTTATGACCGCATGACTTCTGTCACTGCCCAGCATCCCAAGAAAGTGTAGGAACTAATACCATTAGCCAGGGAAAGGATCCAAATCAAACTTTTAAGTGTGGTAAGTATGCAGGGGGGGGAGGAGGCATTTATGTCAAGTGTCTTCCTCAATCTCTTTCTGCCTCACTTGTTGAGGCAGAGCCTCTCCTTGGACAGAAGCTCACTGATTCAGCTAGGCTGATGCCCAGCAAGCCCAGGGTTTCTCCTGTTTTTACCTCCCTAGCCCTGAGATTGCAAAACACACGCCACTACTCCCAATTTGTATGTGGGTGCTGGGAACCCAAACTCAGGTCTTCACACATGTGTGGCGGTGCTTTACCCATGGAGTCATCTGAAAAGCCCCTCAAGAATGTTTTCCACTGATGCTGCATTGCCTTTGCACAATGGTAAAGGTAAGAAAAACGTAAGTCAGATCGTGTAAGTCAGGGCCATGCAGCTACAATACTGTATACCTGAATGATTTCCCCCGGGAAAGGCAGGGAACCCTTTCTCTGCATATCCCCAGTAAGGGCAGGTGCACCATAATTGTTGGACTGAACTGAATCAGCAACTGGGAGAAGTAACTCTGAGGCCAGGGGAGCAGCAGTGCCTGGCTAGACCTGCCACATCATCACCAAGCAAGCTGCATGAAGGAAGGGAGGTGGCAGTGGGAAAGGCAATCAGAAGACAAGCTTGGCCACAGAAGCTTCAGGAGTGTGACATCATAGGGAGACAGGCTTGTTCACACTGGGGAAGCATCTTCCATTTCACTGTCTGAAGATGCCACGGACTGCACATGTGGCAGTTCCGCTCCCCACCACTGGAGGCAAAGGAGCCCTGGGAAGGCCCTTGTGTGGACCACTGTCTAGGGAATTAAACCATGGATGGGATGTGCACACAGGAAAAGGGGATGTATTTCCAGTTCAGGGAGTCTCTGATTCTGAAAATCCAAAAACAGGATTCTTTTTTAAAAAAGTTTAAATTAATTTTGTATGTGTGTGTGCATGCGAGCTTGTGTGTGTGTTCATACCCATGTGCACACACTTGCTCATGTGAAGGTTTAGAAAACACTTTCCAGAATCAGTTCTTTTTTCCACTGTACAGGTTCCGGGGTTAAAGCTCAGGTTGTCATGTTTGGTGGTAAGCACATCAACCTGCTGAGCCATCTTGAAGGTCCCAGAAGTTGGTACTTTTGGTTCCGGGCAGCAGGAGATTTGCGGAAGAGAAAGCATGCTCATTGCCATTCTTCTCAAATCTCTGTTCTAGAACGAAGGATTTACCAAGCACAACTGCCTTCACAGGGGTTAAACTCTGCTCTGTCTTCAGGCTTCCACCACCCCCACCCCAGTCTTTGTCTCTTGTAGGGTGGGGACAAGATGCTGGCCCTGCAGCAGGCATGCCTGTCAAGGCTGAGCTGAGGAGCCTGGGGAACCCATTAGTCTCGGTCAGGATCAAAGTGGATCAATGTGGAGCCCAATAGGCAGCTTCTCCAGGAGGAAGGGTATAGGCTGGTTTCCAGAACTGGAAGGCAAGGGCCCCAGGGTCGAAGGGAGGATATCAAAGCTGTGCCAGTGTTGGTTACAGCCTCAGAACAAGGACAGAGGTGCTTGAATGATGCCTTTGCACGGGACACAGAAGACCCCATACCAAAATCTTAAAACAGGCTGGGGAGAAGGGTTATTAAAGTGTTGCCATACAAGCATAGAAGCCTGGTTTTGATCTTCAACACTCTGAAAAGCCAGGTGTGGTGGCAAGTGCTTGTGACTCAGTGATTGGTGGAGGGCAGACTCAGAGGGACAGGTAGTTCCTGGTGTTTCCATGGGCACACGGACATCCAGTTTCAGTCCCAGACAGACAGACAGACAGACAGATAGACAGACAAACAGATAGATAGATAAAGTGAAGGGCTGGCAGGATGACTCATCAGGTGAGGGTGCTTGCTGCCTAGTAGTAGCCTTAGTTTGATCCCTAGGACCAATGTGGTCCAGCTCCTACAAGTTGTTCTGTGATGTACACACACTCACTCACTCAAACACACACACACACACACACACACACACACACACAAATAAATAAATAAATAAATATACTCAAGGAAAAAATAAAGTAGAGTAAGGAAGACATCTAAACATCAACATCTGGCTTCCACATGCCCAAGCACACCCACACACACACACTACACACACACACACACACACTACACACACACACACTACACACACACACACCACACACACACACACCACACACACACACACACCACACACACGCACACGCACACACACACACCACACACACACACACCACACACACACACTACACACACACACTACACACACACACCACACACACACACGCACACGCACACACACATGCACACACACACACTACACACACACACACACTACACACACACACACACTACACACACACACACCCCACACACACACCACACACACACACACACACACACGCACACACACACACACCACACACACACACCACACACACACGCACACACACACCACACACACACACACCACACACACACACTACACACACACACACACTACACACACACACACACACCACACACACGCACACGCACACACACATGCACACACACACACTACACACACACACACTACACACACACTACACACACACACACACCACACACACACACACACACGCACAAAGAGAGTATCTACATCAGGGTGTTGTGAAGGAGCTCAGTTGCCCAGCACTCGGGAAGTCCCAGATTCAACCTCCAGTACCATATAAACTGAACAAGAAATCCCACACCCAGCAATCAGTTTTTAGAGACAGGAGGTGGTGAGTTTGAGGTCACCCTTGACACATGCAACCCATCTCAAAGAAGACAATACAAAACAATATCTAGTTCAGCTTCTCTCAGCCTCCCTTCCTGTCTCCTTCCACTAGCTGACTCCCTTGTACACACTTGGCCGTGGGAAGTGCTCTGCCTCCTGGGCGAGGCAGCTAATGCAGATGGACTGACCTTTCGAAGAACCTTGGGGAGCATGCAGTAAGCTAAACGAGTGTGATATGGTGCCTGGTGCCCTTGACCTCCCAAGTTCTCAATTTTCTTCCCCTGCCAAGTGTCAAACTCAGGTTGTGTGGCTGTCAAACTTACTCTGTGGCACCAACTCTGTCTTTCTCTGGGAGGGAGGGGGTCAGTTAGGTTAGGGACTAGGTCTTTTTCTTATGTAGCCCAGGAAGGCTTAAAACTCAGTATCCTTCTCCTACAACTTCCTGAGCACCACCCTACCTAGCTGGAGAAACTGATTCTGACCAGAGAAGGTACGAGTCCAGAGTGGCTAGTCACTGAATGGTGAGGGGCACTCACTAGTTTCCAGTGTGGAACGACACCTTTCACCTGCTTCTGTCTTGTCCCATTTCACATCTGAGACCGGGAAGGTGCAGAAGGCCAGAAAGCCAGAGGCTGGGCAGGAGGGACCAAGCACAACTGTTTAACATCTGGCTTCCAACTGCATCACTCACACAGGAGGTCTCTGTGCTCCCCACGTAGGAAAAGGTGGTCCTCACTCCCGTGTCTCCTACACAAATCAGAGGAATGAGCAGGCCAAGGGAGGCGGGAACCATGTGACCTTGAAATTGGATGTCACCTCTGCTTTCTTCATGCATATAATGAGACCCATAATAGAAGCTGTTATATATGGTGATCTTCAGTTCCCCGGTTTAAATGAGAGGATTTAAATTATTTGGGTAATGTCAGAGATCAAACTCAGGACCCAAGAACTTAAAGTTGAAATGAAATAATATAAAAACTCTCAGCACAGTGCTGAGTACACAGTAAGTGTCATTGAGGTCATGGCCATCTCCCAATATTAGCCTGCAGGTGCATGGATAAGTTTGTATCAAGCAAGTGGCTTCTCACAGTTGGATCAAGGCCCTGGCATAGAGAAGGCCCACTACTGCCCCAGCTAGTCTTTGAAAGGTGCCTGGGTATTAATCATAATACCCCCTGCTTGGCTACCACTGTCTCAGCTAGTGTTACAGGGTAAGATAACAGTAATCAAACATGCATCATTCTCCAGGCACCGGCACGGGCACGGGCACGGGAACTCACCCAGTTACCTCAGTGGGCTCTATCGTCACCAGGAAAGAGGCTTGGAATGGTGAGGCCATCTGCTGAGCATCAGACAGCTCATCTGGGTTACCTCAGCTTGGCTCCAAAGATGGTGTTCTCTCTCTCTCCTCTCTCTCCCTCTCTGTTTCTCTGTGTGTGTGTGTGTGTGTGTGTGTGTGTGTGTGTGTGTGTGTGAGTGTGTGTGTGTGTGTGTGTGTGTGTAGGTTGATTTCGGATGCTCTCCTCAGTCACTCTCCTTAGTTTTTGAGACAGGGTCTCTTTGGAGCTCAGCAGTTTGACTGGAGTGGCTGTCCAGGGAGCCTCTGTTTCTGCTTTGCCGGCACCGAGTTTGCAAATGTTTACCATGGACCAGGCTTTTATGTGAGCTCTATGAGGATCCTGATTTGAGCCCTCCTCTCTGCATGGTAAGCATTTTCCTAACAGTCATCTCTTCAGCCCCAGGAGGGGTCCCTTTCACCCCACCACCCTGCTTCTCGCTAGACAACACTTCCTCCTCTGACCACACCAAGTGTGTTCCCACGGCTGTAGTGGGGACCCCCAGCTCTCCCTGGAAGCCCTCAAAGAGACAACTCCTTTGAGTTCTGTGGGATGATTAAGAGGACCATGGCAGGGCCGCTTACCCTGTCTCTTCTCTTGGCCTCTTTAAAATAAGATGTATAGTTGTTCTGACTCTTTCGTTTTTTCATTAATCTACCACGTATCCCTGCTTAGTCCCAAACCTGCTTATTAAAAAATTTCCTTCTGGGAAGCAGGTGTGTAAGTGGTAGAATCCCCATGGACTGATCCCTGCCATGCCATTCTGAAGGCTGGAAAACAGAATTAGATTCCCGTTCCTAATTCTACCCTCAGTCTCTTGGCCCAGCATTAATAAGGAAGATGGAAGACAGTCTCATCCAGAGCTCTGAGCCTCATCCCCCTGCAGCCCCTCATTTCCTCAGCCTTTGATTAGATTTTTAATCTTCTCTGACCTTGAACTTCTCCTGCCTGCTCACCTTCCTCCCCTGGCCTGGAGGGTGGGGACAGAAGTCGCAGCCTCCTAGTGACTTCTCTGAGCAGAACATTATGCCGTGACTAAAGTGGCCCTGAGCCTGTGACCAGAAATTCCCATGCCTTCTAGACCCTGAACTGTATCCAGCCGCTGCCCTGCCCTTTGTTCAAGGATCTCTGCTCCAGACCTTTCCACTCCAACCAGGCAGAGCCCACACAAAAGTTGTTGCCCTGGGGTTGTTTGTGCAGATCTGGGGAGGGAAGGGTTCGGAGCTGAGAAGAAACCCCAGGCTGAGTCGGAGGGCTTGAAGAAGAGTCCTGGCTTTGCTGAGGCATGACCTGAAGTCCCTTAAAACCCCAGCACTGTCTCCTCCACTCCAGCATGACTGAGGAGAGGAGGGAATGCGAAGATTCTAATGGAAAGACTACTGAGCTGGGAGGCAACAGTACCCAGCCAAGCACTCAGTGAAGAGTAGATGTGTAACACAGGAATTCCCCAGGCCCCATAACAGCCAGAGTAGGGAACCGGGGCTCAGTTTATAACCAAGGAGGATTTCCTGAAGGGTGGGTGAGACATCGTTAACTAATACCAAGGTAGACGTCAAGAAAACGTTTGCCTCCAGTTATTATGGACAGCCTTGGGCTCTTTTAAACCCCCTGCTGTGTAAGTCCTGATAGCGTGACCTTGTGGCCATCAGTTCCCAGAATAAGGCAGGACAGGAAGGCCTGATCCCATTGCATCACTCAATGATGCCGAATACTATGTACAGAGACCCAGCATCTCTCGGCCACATTCCGTCAAATACCAGCATCCTGTGGACTGCTGGTCTGGCATATCTGTGAGGCTCATGGGAGACTATTCGGAGAACCACAGGCGTCTCAGAAGGTCCCATGCTAAGGTGCACTGTGAGTTGCCACAAGGGGTAAGAAGATAAAGGTTTATCCTCTATTCATCTGTTTGCTTTTTTGCCACAGAGCTCTTGGTCCATAACCACTTGCATGAAAGCTATGCTGTCCAAGGGAGCTTGCGGCAGGCCTGTGGTGCTCTGTCTTAGCGCTTGCCAGTTGGGGGCCACTGGCAACACGTGGCTATTGAACACCTGAAATGAGGCTAGTAAGGCTGTGGGAGTAATTTTTTATTTTTAATGTGATCTTACTCATTGTTTTGTTTTTTAACAGAGTCTTACTCTGTAGTCTATGAAGGCTTCAATGTATAGCAATCCCCGTGCCTCAGCCTCTCAATTGCTGAAGCTACATATGTGCACCACCACACGCAGCTCTGGAATCTTAATTTTGCTTAGTTCATTTTTAAATTTAAATAGCCATATGTGACTTGGGACCATTGTATGGGTGAGCTTAGATCCAGAGGGACCCGGTTTGAAAAATACAGGGGTGTTGCTGTACACGAACTACTTTCCAGGGAACCTGGATTTAAACCTCAACTCTACCACTTATTAGCCATGGGACTCTAGGCAAGGGGAGCATTTCTCTGGAGTTCTGCTTCCTCTTTGGTGCTGAGGGAGGTTTGACGTCTGTTTTTGCTGAATCCCTTCAATAAAACCCCTAGTCTGAGAACTCTAACACACCCCATCCCCTACAAAGTCACTCTCTTGTCATAACTGCTTCAGTGCCCGTGCTGACTGACAGACAGTGGACCTGCTGTGTTTCATACACATGACCCACTTCTGAGCCTTCACAGGACCTGTTGCTGAAGCCTCCCCCCACCCCTACCCCGAACCAGCGCTCTTCCTCCAGGTCCAAGGTCTCCAGTGCCTGAGTCTAATTCAAACTCCCTGACCTAACATCATTTTCATCTACTCAAACTAGTTGTTCCCTAATGGTGTGCCCAGCATTACAACGACAATTCTCCTGAGGATGTTCCTCAGGAAAGAGACCTTCAAGGTCCCTCAATGAATATGGGACCCAAGTCTACGCCCTCTTACTGCCACCCATGGGTCTGGATTTCCTTCCCTAGCCTCCTGCCATCTCCTATCAATATCCCTTCTTAGTGGAACCAACTCCTCCCCCCACACACTGCATCTCTCTTGGAAATGGGGGCAGCCATGCCTTCCATAACCCGGGTGGTCATAATAATTAGATTCAACATACAGAGCCAAAGCTTGGTGACCTTGTTTCCTGGCTAGCCTCGAGTTAACAGTTAGGGACACTGAGGGAGGCAGTCAAGTGTGACAGTGTGACGGTCTGCTGCCATGGGTGGTTCTGACCTGTCATGCGGTTTTGCTTTTAGATATTACTTGGATTCGAGCATGGAGGGAGGCCTTGCTCAGAGCAGCGCTGAGACGTTGAAGACAGGGCTTGTGGCAGAAGACAGCACATCCCTGAGCAAGGCCCATGGTGACCTGCAGGTTCAGAACAAACTGCATGGCTCACCTGTGCGGGTGACATGCTAGGTTCAGACTCTGGTCACCAGGACCCAGCAGTGGCCAGCACCTGACTGACAAAGAGCGAGCACACAGATGTCACCTGGAATACGTGGACACATATGCTTGCTGGCTCAAATTAGCTAAATCTCATAAACACTGAATTTATGTCTCAAATTGTTCGAGAGACACAGAATATGCATCTCCAAACCTGTGTTTGCAGAAAGAAAAAAGGAAACGCTTTATCGGGAACTGACCTTGGACCTTGTTCCATCAGCAAAACCTGCTCTCCGGGGGAAGATACGCTTCAGCTCATCAAGCACAAACGCATTCAATTTTGCAACCCCCCCACCGCCCCCGCACCTCTTTGTATCTCCTTAACAATGAGGCTGAAAATGTGGGAATTGAGTTTGCAGATACAAACTTGGCAGCTGGCCAGTCTCCCTGCAACCTAGTTGCATGCCCAGGTAGTACAGGCAAAGGGTGGCTATGGGCACTGTTTCTCTTTCACATATACAGAGGGGGGATTGCACTTGTTTTTTGGCAGATCAGGATCCTGGGGCCACTCCCCTCTCAACTGGCCCTTGCTTGTTGTGAGCCCAGGAGCCCACAGCCTAGTGGAAATGAAGAAAAGCAGCCTGTCTGGGCACGGAGCTATCTTGGGAATACATACATTCTGCTTTGGCACAGATGAGGCAGGCGGTGGTACAGTTGAAGAAGTTCAGGATCCCGGCCACAGCTACGCTGATGTCGGTGTTGCTGGGGTGAAGGTTCAGGGTGGTGAATCTCTGAAGCTGGAACCTGACAAACTCCTCTGGGGCCACTTTGAAATGAGGGACCTGGCAGGAGGAGCCAAAAAAGGCAGCAAGGAGGATTCAGAGTGAATGAGAGAGGGAAATCAGGATGGGTAACCCAGGCTACAGCTGAGCATGACTCCTTTTGCTTAATACCTTTGACACACACCAAAGGAAAAGAAGCCCCAAGTTCATGGGAGTGGGGTGTGGTAAAATCTTTGGAAAGACCCAGAACAAGCCACTGTTTAGCTAGAGACCTCTGCAAATACTCTGTGGTGTAAGAGTTCAATCACTCTTGAAGGCACAGTCCTTACAATATATTATCTGTAGTTAATTAATTGGAGCAGAGACAGCAAGAAGAGACAAATAGTTCCCTATAGGTTAGAGAAGAGGCCTTCAGCCCAATCCTAGAAAGCTGGTGTACACTAGTTTCCAACAAGCTTTCTGGGTAAATCCCAGAGGCAGGGGCAGATAGGAATGAACCTTAGGAGCATTTGGAGGCTCTGGATGGAACCAGATGGACAAACCCCTGCCCTGAATTCATCAGAGCAATGTTGGCTTCCTACCACATGTACCAGTGATGTTTCTAGAAGAGGCCGTCTTCCCCCTCTTTGCTGGGAAAGAGATATTAAGAGGCACCAATGGAGGCTTTATTGACAGCTTAGGCTATTTGGTAGGTAATGGGAAAGTTAAATCGTAATAAGCTGCCATCCACCTTGATTTTATTCAGACACTCTCATCCCTAGTACTCAGAGCTGGGAGAACCGAAACTGAGCATGAGTTGGTACTGATGCGAAAGCAAGTGAGATTGAAAGTAGCAGCAAGAATTTCCTGATGATGAGGTGCTTGGCTTCCAGACACGATTACAGAAGTTTTCTCTGCCTGGCTTTCTTAGAGGCTGTGCTACAGGGGCCTGGGATAATGCTGTGATGGTCTCTGTAGGATTCCATCGTCTTATCCTTTTACGATTTAGGGAGAAGCCTGCCAGAAACCAGAGCTCTTGGAAGCTGAGATGGGAGGAGAGCAAAGATCTAGGAAAACCCAAAGAGAAAATTACTGATTTCAACGAGGCTTAGCCCCTGAACTGTGGGCAGAGCACAGTCATAGTTTTGTTTTTGGTTGTTCTTAACCCCCCTCCCCCACACACACAACACCACTACCACCGGGATGGCATGGTGCAGAATTGACAAAGCCTGGTGAGTTTGAAGGATGGCTCTGGAGATCAGAGCTAACCCGGTGCATTTCATGGGGATCTTTTCTCCTGCTTGCATTTTGTAACCCACACAATCGATCTAAAATGAGTAACACATACGCCTTGAAGGCAAGAGAGGTGACAAATTAGCCAGATGAAGGGCACAGCTGCATATAAGCCAGGTGGCCTGGCCAACTCAGATCCAGACATGGGCGTCTGCGACCTGACTCCTCCGTGGGTGACAGTCAGCACACTGGGTTCTACCAGCAGGTAGCCAACAGAGCTCTGCCCATTATTAGTTCCCCCATGGTGAGGAGCCCTCGGAGACTGTGGAGACTTGTGATGAATTCACAACTGCCAGCCCTGGGCTCAGGGAGGGAATCCTTCAAGAAGGAGAAGGATGTGTGGTTTTTGGATCCTACAGACTGACTTCTGTCTAGGTTCTACTGTGGTTCGGGGGCAAACCGCTTATTTAACCTGGCTCAGCTTCCTGCAAACAGAGCTGACCTCGAGTGCTTCTGAGAGTCCAGGAAGAGAGAATGGGATTCTGTGTCCAAGGAACAAAACAACCCTAAACCCAACACAGCCAGTGCCTGAACAACACCTGCCCTCTTCCCCCTTTCCTTCTCTCTTCTCCAGTTGCAGAAGTTTCCAGAAGCCCTTTTAGCTGCACAAAGGAGAGGGGGGAGGGGGTTTCCCCAGGGCAAGTAGTGAATCACTAACAGGGGCCATCTGGGAGGCTGCTCGGGAAGCAGCCAGCTGCTCTGTGGCCCGGGCAGGGGTAGCTAGGCCTCACCCTTCTGGTTTGTTCTCACTCTTGGAGAAAAATCAATCTGTGATTGATTGGTGATTGCAAATTTGCCTCAAGAAGTCACCCCAGTGGGGTTGAGGGGAGAGCAGGAGCTAGGAAGCAGCCAGCCATGGGGTCTCAGAAATATTAGCAGCATTTAAAGGGCTGGGAGTCACAGCAAGGACTCCATGGCTTTTTCCCTGGAGCAGGCCTCATAAAATAGTAACCAAAATGCATAAGCTGAGTGGCAGGCAAGGTTGCTCTGGAAGGAATGTGACCAGAAGAAGGAAGGGTAACTGCCTGGCTGATCTCTGGGCAGTGCCTTCTGGTTGGTCTGTGGAGGATGCTTCAAACCAGTGGCTCCCGTGGCCTCTGTCCTGAAAGGCTACACAGTGCGGACAGACTTGCAGGCCAATGTGAAACGGCTCCAGCTCCAAGACAGGGGTGGGGGCTGGGGGAGGATAGCAAAGGGCAGCGAAGGGAGTGTGGTGGGAACGAAGGAGGGAGAGAAGGGAGAGGAAAGGAGTCAGAGAAAGAACATGGGAGCTCAGACGTTGGCAACCTGGCTTGGTGAAGATCAGAGCCCAGGCTTGAGTGACAACCTGCCATGTAACACGCTTGGCTGTGAGCTGAAGCACAGCAAGAAGGATTTAAGTTAAACATCAGCTCCTGGCTGAGCCCGTGAGAGGCTGCAAGGATTGTGGCAGGACAGGGGCTTTGTGGTCCGAGCTGGCCTAAGAAGCATCTTCTAGGTTAACTGAGACAGGGAAAGAAGGTTCTGGGGGTCTGGGAGGAGCAATTCTAGCCCCAGACAGGTGTGGCTGTGGCCATAAGACACTTGAACTAGTGATTCTGAGGGGGGGTTAGAGAACCAGGGCCTACTCAACAAAGCCCTGATCACAGCATCAAGAGGTCAGTTCCAGGAAACGTGGGAAGGTAGAAGCCTGTCTGTGACCCCCGACTTTGTTAGGGTGGCTGCTGTGGGGATGTTAGGCCTCCTTTGAAAGGGCACATGACTATTTCCCAGACCCAGTCTTCTCTACTACAAAAGCTGCTGGAAAGTGATACATCAGTTCTCTAGTAAGGATGGGAGACGGTACTGTCTTCCCATGCTCCTCCCTGAGACTGAGCTTAATCTAATTCCTACAAACTGGTCCAGAAAGCCTTTGGAACACAGAGAGGCTGGGGCTGGGGTGGGGTCCTCTTGCCCACAGTCTTCTGGGGATATATTCACAGGAGAAAGGCCTGCAGCTTCTAGAAAAGCTCTGTAATGATGCCTACAATAGGCAGAGTCTCTAAGTTGCTAGGAAACCTGTCTTCCATCATGTCTTTCTCCCATGAACTGGAGCAGGAGAGAATGGCCCCCACACTCTGGGCCCAGAGAGACGCCAGACAGAGGCCACACCTGTGGACCAACATTATACTTGGCAGAGCAAATGCAGGAACTAGTGAATAGGGAAAACCAAATAAAGCCTCTTTTCTAGTGCACTCAGGAAGCAGAGGCTTTTAAATTTTATTCTCACAATAAAATGGAACAGTGGCTTCTTCCCCCAAGGCATTCTTCCCCAGAATCCCAAGGAACAGACCACCAATAAGCTGCCTGCATCAACGAGAGTGTGGAGCCTTAGCCTCATGCCAAACCACCAGCCACCATATCTCTGTTTTAACAGAGAGGCCACTGAAGGCACTGTCCTGCCATGAGACCCTAAGACACAGAACTTAGCTTGGAAATCCTGTGGTCAAACATCCCTCCATCTCTTTATCACTTGGAAAAAGTAAGAGCTACGCCAGTGGTCCCCCTATCTCACATTTGCATTGATGATGATTTGAATAGCATGGCTTCCTTGGGCCCTTACTGCACACAGGCTGGACCATTCCCCAAGGCAGACCCACACTTACCTCCTTCTCTCCACAGATGTTGCTGATGATAGAGCTGGAGGCTGGGCTCGACGATGGTCCCAGGACAGCCACCACTCCCTTGGGGAGGATCTGACACACTGCAGCCAGGGGAGGAGCAGGATTGGGAAAGACAACATGGCATTCAGCTGGTGCAGCTTGACTCTGTCCTGCCTAAGTCCTTAGATCATTACCTAATGCCTTCACCTCTGCACACACCATCCAGGCCTCTTTCTGCCCCTTTCAAACCCCAGTCTCTCCTGCTATCCCTGGTCTGCTAAGCTCTCAGACAGCTTTATTGGTGTTTATGGACAGTATTAAATGAGGAAATGACCCAGGTTACGACAACATACAGCCTCAGCCAATAGGGGGTATAAATTGTCTGGGCCATCACCGAAGGACAGAGGTAATGGAAAATCCAAGGTGCCCCCCACACTCCCTCTCTGGTCTGCTGAGGGTTGGGGGACACAGCTTCCGCAGGAGGTCCATGTCCAGGTGGTACCAGAGTGGTGCCCAGCCTTCAATCTCAGACTGAATGACAGCTGAGAAGGAAG